TTCCAATTAAGGTAGAAGTCCGAAAAGGAATAAAGTTGGAATAGCATGTTGTCTTTGGCCCAGAAGGTGATGAAAGAAGTTACCTTTTCGAGCATGGCCAGAACAGTTGTGGTTACACCTCTAAAGATCCGATTGTTACGCTCCAACCAAATAATCCAACGTGTTGCAACAACAGTGGCACGCCACAGGTAATTGCCTGTGGCTGGACTAAGGTGGAGAGAGGAAGGTCTGGATGAGTTGGGGCATATGGAACAAGGGGTTACCAGACCCAGCCAAAACGTTGAAGCAGAAGACCCCATAGGAAGCAGGCAACACGGCAGTGAATAAAGAGGTGTGCTTCAGTTTCCTCTTCCTCCCCACTCATAGAACATTTGTTAGGGAGCTGGTGGCCCCTTCTTTGGAGTTGGTCTACCACAAGAGCTCTCTCAAAGAAAGCTAGCTAAATATAAAGAGGGCTAAAGATTGGGTGGGGGAGAAGGTTGGCAAGCTTTGTAGAAAGAAGTGACTGAGAAAATACCCGTGGGGGCTGGTGAAGAAAAAGAAAAACAAGATAGAGAAATAGAGTTGGGGAAAATTTCTTGCAGAAGTCAAGCACCGTTCTGCGCTTGGCTGCGTCTCCCAGCAAACATTTTCAACGCACCCTAAGGAATTACCCACAAGCAAAAAATTTCAACACACCCCAAGGAATGATATATCAAATGAGAGAGAGAGAGAGAGAGGGAGGGAGAGAGAGATTGCTTGGGCCTGAAAGGGAATTACCCACAAGCAAACATTTTTAACACACCATAAGGAATGATATCAAATTAGAGAGAGAGAGAGAGAGGGAGAGAGAAAGGACTGCAAGGAAGAATATACAATGATGAGACACTTTTGCAAACAAAACAAATAGAAAAACAAGATAGAGAAATAGAAAAACGAGAAGAAGAGAGAGAGAGAGTGGAGAATCTTCTGCACCAAGCAAACCAAGGAGGAGGGAGACAGATCATGGAGAGAGAGTGAGTAGAGAAAGAGAGAGATCTAGCTGGTTGATTGCAAGTGCTCAAATTGGGGTGGGAGGCAGCCACCGGATGCAGACAACAAAGCTGGGGTGAAGATGCAGCCAAGCTAGAATGGTGGATCGTCGGGTCTATTTATGGAGAGTAGGAGAGAGAAAAGTTCATAAGGTTTTCTGGAACTGTTCACTATTGTATTGCTTGAACGTAAAAGGTTTTGCTTCCCTAGGTTTCAACGGAAGCAAAACATTTCTCATATGAGCCAAAACAAAAAGAAGATAGAAATTCTTTTAACTGTAGCACTCCTGCGTGTCAAACGCATAAGTGCTATAGAATGGGTGAACGTTTGGTTTCTGAAGCAAAATATTTGCCCAAACAAACACGCCCTAAGGAACTTACCAGGGCTGAGACATGCCTATATAGACCATGTCTTCCCATTGCTTGATGCAAACAACCAACTAAATTCTTCACTGCCAATCCAAAGTCAACATGTCTTTATTAGCACATTTTCAAGGGAGAAATCTAATTGCATAGAATATCAAGAAACTGGGAAACTAACTCAAGATATAAGGGACAACATTTAACAATAACACATATACATGATTGTTTGTACATCAGACTATCTAAACTCCATACGAGAAGGCAAAAGTTCTACATATCCATTCCGAATTCAACCTGCAATAACTTACTCTTCCAAAATAAGCACAAGTGGAAATAGAATTATATATGATTTATATGATGACCCAAAGATCTGTTTTTCATTTTATAGGAATAGAATAACATGTGAATTTTTATTGAGAAATAACCTAGTTAATTACTTTTCTTTCTTGCTCACTACACAAGTCTTGGCCACTGAAAGCCCATTCATTACTTTTCGTTCTAGTATTATCTGCTCTCCGCCTATGGAAATCCTTGTGGTTGGGCCTGAGGATAAAAAAAAATTTGAGCCCTTCTTACAGCACGACTGCTAACATGCACCTTATTGAAAAGAATACTTAGATTATTAACTCATAAAACCAAATGAAAATTAGTTCAATGACACCACAAAAACAACATCAACAACGATAGCAATAATGATCAATTAATCAAACACCTAAACGCCAAAACATATTACATTATATAAACAAAATCAAATTAATCAAACTCTCGAGCCATAAAAGAGTAATTCTCAATAAAACGAAAACTCACATCAAAATTTACGTGACAAACTAGAAAAATAAAACATAAATAATAAATAAATAAACTCAGTGAATATGGGGGTTTTCTTCGTTGTGCACAACCAAGAAAAAAAATGAAACAAAAAATCAAATAAAAAAAAAGAAACAAAGCTCTCTGTAGACTTTGGGTTAATCTTGTTTGAGCTTAATAATAAAAAAAAAAGGAACCTAAATCAAAAATAAAATCTCATTTAGATCTGGGATTAACATTTTTGAGCTCTAAATAATAAAAAAATTAAAAAAGGACTTGCTGGAGCTTTCTCTAAGAGCGTAGCTTGCAGCAACAGGGGCGATGAGGGGAACAGACCTACAGCGAGGAGGGCAGAAGTTGGTTGAGGGTTGAGCTTTGTTGGGGCGAGTGGCAGTGGATGGTTGAGTTGCTAGGGTTTTGAGTTAGAAAGGGTTAGAAAGATGGATGGTTGAGTTGCTAGGAATTTTTCTTCTCAGAGGGTGGTGAGTTTTTTCTTCTCAAAGAGGTGAGTTAACCAAGGGTCCCCTGCATGGATGAGTTTTGGACTTTATAGCCCCGATGAGTTTTTCCATGTTACAACTTTTTTGCTCATTAACTTTTCGTGAAAGTTGCAAAGCGGGGTACCAATGTCCCGCAACTTTCCCCCAGTGAAATAATGTTTTGGGGAATGTGGTGGTTCCAACTTTTCACCTTTTTGTTGTTCCCAAACTAGGGAAAGCTATAGTATAGGAGAAAGTTGGGGACTTTTCCACACATTCACCATTATCAAACGCCCCTTAGGAGAGCAAGGGGAAGGCCCTAAAGAACATGAATGGATGTAATGAGAAAAGATATGTTGACTTACAGTTTGACTAAGGGTATGACCCTTGATAGAATGGAATGGCGGAAGAAGATTCATATAGCCAACCCTAAATAAAGCTCGGAAGATGATGATGAAACCATCTAGACTCAATCTGACACTTTAAATTACTCTTTCCAATTACTTTAAAATGAATGAAATTTAATCACATCAAGAATGTAACACTCCATTTTCAGTTTGGACAAATCTTAAACCACAAGCAATAAAATCAAAGAATTCCTGGATTTAATAGAGTTTAGTTAATGAATCCACATTAAAAGAGCAAAATTTTGTAAGCAATATCACAGAAAAATGGAAGTTAAGAACCTTAGAGGTGCCAAAATCGACAATTACTCTCAAAGACCCACCACCATAACCTCTAATTACAATGAAATCAAACGATTCCTGCATTTAACAATGTTTACTTAATCAACCAACGTGGAAAAACAAAAAAAACTAAGCAACATCGCAAGAAAAATGGACAGTTTTGCTCAATGACCCACAATCCTAGCCTCATAATTGCAACCTCAAGACTCAGAAAATTTGTACTCCCAAAGATACACACGTAAATAGAGCTTCAAAAATAAGAGGTTAATTACATTTAATTCTCTAGAGTCTTAAATTCTTGGATTTATAGTCACAAGATGATATTTACTCGAGCAAATAAAATGTTTCAGAGCCTAATTAAAATGAAAGGAAAACGATATAATGACGAAGAAAGAACATAAAACAGATGAACAGACCCACCAGACTTTGCATAAAACTTTCATTAATTTATTGTCAGTTGCAACTTGGAATTCCAAGTTATTTGCACTCTAGTTCTGTTACTGAGCAGCTCTTAAATGTCATTACTTACTCTCATAATAAATAGACTTTGGGAACTCGTCAATCAGAAATCCACATAGCAAAATTCTACGTCCAATTTAAAGAATCTTCATCGCAATTCCACTCCTTTTATAAGACCTGTGTTTAAGCTATTTCTGTGCAAACTCATAGGAGTGAAATATTTACTAATCACAAGTAACAGGGGTCACTGTGAAATTTTTAGCCAACCGTAAATAGTTGGTCAAAGGCTCTAATGATGATGATGAAATAACAGGGGTCGTTGTGGCCTTGGATTAAGATCCCAGATTACCTATCACAAAGCACCAAAAAAAAAAAAGGTATTCCAATTAATAATATAATATATTCTTTAAAAAAATAAATACAGTTCTTTGTTCCTTTTATTCTTTGCCTTAATCTAAGAAGAACACAGACTGTTTTCTAATAACAATAAATAGGATCCACACATCATACATCAAAGGAAGAATTCTCATCACAAGATATGAGAATAATGTTGCATAAGAAAGGAGAGCACAAAACCGAAGGTTGGTTGTGTCGAAAAGGAAATTCTAAGTTTCAAGTCTATAAACCTGTTATTCAAAACGAATAGAGGGGGACAACATAGGGAGGGGACCCATTCACCAAAAAGGGAATTCAAAGTGCATTTGACACATGAAACGCCCGTATCACACCCTCATTAAGACCCAATGCCAGTGTCACATCAAGAAATAAAGTCCAAAGAGAAAACAGCCAATCCAAACCAAATGAAAAAAGCCAATTCAAAGTGGAGATGCACACTATGAAATGGTCACCATCCATCTTCTTTCTCCATCTTTTACTCTCCACCTTTCTCCATCTTCGGTAACAAATAATCTTGGCGTGGCTTGAAACCTTCTTGCCATTGAGAAAATCTTTTCTTCAAGCATTTAAATATTTCCATCTCTTCTGATTCAACTTTGACTCTAGATCCACCAAAATTCAGCTTCACAGGACTTAGCTCGTCAAAGAGTTCTGATGCATCTAGTTTCTCTTCACCTCTAGGATCACAATTTTTCTTATGGAATGCAGTAATAAAAATATCAAATATGTTGTCTTTGTAATGACCAAATTATGATTTCCCAAAAGAAAGGTTTTCAAGGGGTGACTTCTCAGGATCCAAATTATTTGCTGGGTCTCATGTAGAATAAGTGCCCCTCTTCTTCGGGGTCTTGGGACTCAGTCCATGCATCATAATCATCAGAGAGAGACACCGCATAAGGCACTTCAGGTCTAGGATGAGATTTCGGCAGTTTCGAACTCTTGGCTAAACTGATGAGTTCTTGACATTGATTACCCATTTCCGCATCTGTAGACAACCAATTAATCTCAGGAACAAAAGATGCTCTTCCTTTATCGATGATCTGAAAAGTTAGCAAAAGGGGAAGGGGGAGCATTGGCCCAACTAGATGGGGAGGCACTAGATCAATTACATCACCCTTCTCACTGAGAGGACCAACTTGATCACACTTCTTAGTGGCCTTGGAGCGCGATCTCCCATAACTTTTTGATGGTACACGAAATGGAAACGGTGGCAATTGAGTGGAAGAGGAGCTAGGAATGGCCAAGAAGTCAGGACCAGTGTGATTTAGATCTGAATCAAATGCCAACTCCACATAACACAAATTTAGACCAGTCCATATACTCTTAGATATAATTTCATGAGCACTGCTAGGAGTATTTATGTCACCAAGAACATAGTCCATCGAGGGAAGTGAGCCAAACTCCACCTGACCTGAAGCTTTCCATGCCTCCAATATTAACTCCTTTGCAGCTTCGGTACTTTCAACATTGTTACAATGCATTGATCCTCTACTTGAAGTTTCTTCTAGTCTCGAATTCAAAACTTCAGCAAGAGTTGGACCACCACTGAAGTATCCCAAGAAGTAATCAAACTTTTTGTGCAGCAATTTGAGATGATCGATGTCTTCTGGTTCCACATGTGAAGGAAATGTAGTCCTAGATTGTACCTGAACCGGTTTACAACTGGACTTTACACAAGAGAAATCCCACAAAGCCTGGCATTTCAATGTTTCAAAGATCCCATTAGATGTCAGCCTAATCATAAAGAAACCACTTGTACAATCATCTTCATATCTCTCTGAACATGCCTCACTAAGTACAAAAAAACCCAAAACCTTCTCACGCTTTTGCAGCTTATATGAATCTGTCCTGAATTCTTCTTTCAATTCACAATCAATACAACAACAATCCTGTGAAACCAAAGCGATCTCAGATGGAAGACCCCAAGCATATAAAGAACCACTATCAGAGGTCCAACCTAGCTTCAAATCAACTATAGGATGAGGCCCATAACAAAAAAGGCTAAACTCACAATTTCAAAAAGAACCCACCAAAATAACGTAACCTGAATTAAAAGCTCATTTAAGTTTTCCATTAGATGGTCTTAGATCTGATAATCTATACATATTAATGTAACGCATATGATCCAGATGATGATCCCATTGCAATACAGGATCTAATGGCTTCCTAGTGTCAAATAGTAATAGATAGTATTTAGTAGCCATTGAGAACAGGAAAACATCAAAACTGGCTTTGCAAAAAGCTTGAAATCTATCACTCTCTATGAAATGGTGCTTGACAGAATTGCATAATTCGATCTTTGCTAAAACTGTAACCTTCACCTTCTTGTCCCTAAAATCAACCATCAAAACCGTGGTTTTAGAAGTAACAATCAAAACCCTAGGATGCCATCCAAATTCACAACAAAACCAATCGTTGTCAGACTCTCTTGAAATCAAACTCCCCAAATTCTTTGAAACCAACTCTCCCTTAAATTTCACAGGCAGATTCTTGACCCCAACACAATAATTTAAGTCATATAATCTCAATTCCCCATTAACCAACAATATTGCACTCTCTTCAGGCAAATATGAACTCCAACAAGCATGGGCCACCTGATTTTTATAAAAAAATCTCATAAAAGCATGAACTTTTGCATTGTAAACCCAAAAGGAAAAGGATATGGAGAGAGAGAACGTGAAAAACAAAGGTAAGAAAGAGAGAGAGTCCACAGAGAAGATGCACAGAGTACCTGGAGAAAGAATCGTGCTAGAGAGAATCAGTGCACATCCTCCAGCGTTCTTGGGCCATAGAAATTTTCATTAAGTAGGGCTTTTCACTAATTTCACTCTGGGCCCGTTCGACAACTAAAAGCAGGCAGTTCCCTAGAAGCTGGAAGTTCGGACTCCCTCAAAAGCTAGATGACCTAGCCCCTTGTTCGGACCCCCTCAAAAGCTAGATGACCTAGCTCCTTGTACTAGAAAAATAATGTGTTTGAGAACTTATTTGGAAATTTGAGGGAGCATGGATACTTGTGTTAGCCACCACTGGGAAGGTTTCAAACCTGGAGACCTGGTAATTAGCTAGTTTAATTCATACCTTAAAGTATTTATATTTAAGAGGGTAATATCAATTCAATAATAAAAATTTCATAGAGTCAAACAAGATAAATATGCATATTTACACATCTACTACTAATAAATATCCCAATCCATATCTTGATCCAAATGAAAAAAAGCTAAATATAAGCAACGACT